CCCCCCTCACAAGTCGTATCGTATTGTGCTAAGGTGTGTGGCATGCATGACGTGCCCTGCCCGGTGTGGTGTGTGTGTACTTTTGGAATGGACGAACGTCGTCGTTGTCGTCTGCCGTGTTGTGTGTGTCGTGTGTGTGTGTGTGTGTGTGTGTCGTGCTGTCGTCTGCTGTAACTGGAAGGCCGGCGGCCTCTTCCTTCACCTCCCCGTTCAACTTGAATGGGGGCGCACTCTCTTTACCTTGGCGTCGTTCACCGCAGTCACCGGGCTATCGTGTCGTCGTTGTCGTGTGTCTCCTGCTAGCTGCTTGCTTCAGTCAGCTACGATAGTTCGCACCACCTGTTGATATTTTCCGCGACGAAATGCATAACTGCAACCCCGTGGCGCCCCAAGTAACAGTGAATGCACTGGGGAAATGAAGTTTATGTGGTTGATAATTATTGTGTGATTATGTATACTTCGTGGTAAGCTTACAAGCATTATTTTGTTTAATTGGTGGATCTAGTGAAAAATTCTAGATCTATTACCTTGTCGTAGCACACTTGGATCTAGAAGCCTGGGTGTGTGGTGTTGATTCGGACCCGGAACACACAGACTCAACTGTGTAGTGTGTAGTGTGTAGTGTGTAATTCTTGGTTGGATTAATAAGCACAGGTAGAGGTGACGGACTTCTTCTCGTGTGTTGTGACTGTGAGCACATCTGCTGTGCTCCTGGTGGATATTATACATCTCTCTGTCTGTTGCGTTTGGAGAGTCCATCCATGTGGTAATTATTGATTCAGGTGACGGTGTGTTGTCGAATGTGAAGTAAGTTAGTCTCTCATGCGAGTTTTGTTGTGTGTTTTTTAAAGTTGTGAGTGAGTGAGCGAGTGTGTCACGAAACAGCGATTCTGCTTAATTAAGTGTGCTGTATAACTTTATTTAAATTTTGATCTAGATCTATATAATATTGTGATGTAAGCCTAGACTGCTTGACATGTTTATCTATACTATAGGGCCTAATATATTATGGGCTTACCTAGGAAAGTATTGGCAAGCGTGTAAAAATGTACTAATTAACTAATATAACCCAATTGGTGACATTATATATTATTCAGAGTAGCCCTATAGTATTGTATGTAGGTATACATACTATTTGGAATAGTACATACAGTGAGTCATTCGGTGCGTTAAGGTAGAGGGTGAAGATTGCGGTTAGGGGGATAGGTTAGATCACAGAGTTATACAGTAATACAGTAATACTAACGGACAAATAGTACATGATGTATTACGTCACTGCAGCAGACCAAAGGCAATGTTGCTGCAGATTGCTTTAGGCACCTACCCTTAAGAAAACATCGGAAACACGAAATGACCTATTGTTTCGCAGCATGGACATGTAGCCTAGGCCCTATATGTTGTTGCCTGCCTTTTGGGGGTTTCAGGTAAATAAAGAAAATGAAAAAACAACCAGACAATAAACAAAACAACCCAAACAACAACTAACAAGCAACAAAAAACAAAACAAAAAACTCCCGATCAAAACAACAACTGTTCGATTAACGAAGTTCTGGTTCTTTTTTAAAAGTGGCCCATAAACAGTAAGTTAACCGTCACCCAGACCCGTCTCTCCCTCTCACTTTACCGTCATGGTCATGGCTATAATATATTTCTGTACTCTGTATCGGGCTGGCTCTGGCACCATACTATAGATCTAATATATTATAAACCTCGGCCACAGAATTTTTCATGTGTGGAACGCTGTGACCTCGCCCTATCTCTTGAGGGGGGGCTACACCTGAAGGCTATATCGCTTATTACCGGACCGAATTTTACCAAATTTCACCAAATTTCACACATATAAAAAGCATAGTAAGGAGTCTTTAAATCCGCAATCAAATTTGAAAAAAAGTTTCGTTTCCATGGATACGGCGGCCATGTTGGATTTTGTTGACATGTCTTACGTTATGAATACCGTTCATGGAAATTGAATGTTTTTTTGCATGCGTGTTCACAGACATTAGATCTAAAACTTTGTCTGTTGTTTTTGTCCTAAACGAATTAGAAATTTTTAATGAATTTTTTCCTGAGGTAGCATTTAAGTTTTAAAAAAATCCGTAAAAATTCACACTCCAGACACCACCAACAAAAATCTATTCCATATATAAAAAAATTCAACAAACAAATGCTCAGTATTATATCTTCTCTTCATTCTGTGAACATTTCATGAAGATTGGATGAAAAATGGTGGAGTTATTCAAAAAAGTATAGAGAAAAGTCGCATTTTGAAAAAACGGCCGATAAAGAAAAATAATATACTGACTTTATGAGGAAATGGCGGTTACAAACATGCCTGGTATGAACCCCCCCCCCACGATTCTGGGGTGTTCTTGTGTAATGAAATAGTTGTAGGAGAGGCTGAGGAAGCTAAAAATGCCTACAACTCAATCTCCATAATTTTGAGCCGAATTTTGACTTTGGGGGTGTAGGCCCCCCACCCCCCTTAACTTTACTCTTAGCGTTGTGTTGGGAAGGACTTCCTTGACGAGCGACCACTATGAGACAAAGTAGAATAGAGGGTTAGGGGTAGGGTTAAGGTTTTTGTTTTAGTAAGTGGTTTACGGCACTTGCAGCACAATAAGGTCATGTAAGTACAGAAGATTAATAATAATAATTAATGACATTTATATAGCGCTCAACTCCGAATAAAGTACACAGCTCTGAGCGCTTTACAATACAGTACAACATACAACAGTAACATGAAACGTTGTGTTCTGACTAAAGAAAAGTATTCCAAATATTCATCTTATTAATTTAAAAACAGATTAGAGGTGTTAAAGAGAGTAAGGAACAAAAAAAAGAAGGAGGTGAGATAAAAAATAATAGATGTTTTCAGTAAAGAGTTTTACGGCACTTGCAACACAATAAGGTCATATAAGTGCCGAAGATTAGAGGTGTTACAAGAGAGTAACAACAAACGTAAAAAAGAAGGAGGAGAGATAAGGACGATAGATGTTTAAGAGGAAAGAAGGAGCAAACCACACCAGAGCACCCGCCAACCACCCACCGGGTTAGGGTTAGGGTTAGGTCTCTTTTTTATTGTGTTTGCTCGGGTGTTTGTTCGTTAAGGAAGCCCGTCCTTTTGTTGGATGATATTTGTTTCAAGTTTACTCAAGGATGTCATAGGATATATGTGAGGCAGCGTGGTGGAATCAGGCTCTCGTCAATTTTTGGGCATGTAGAGTTATTGGTATAATCTTAAAGCTTGTTCACTTGTTTTTATTTGGATGAAAATGATATCCTTTTATCTTGAATACAACTCGAGATATTTGCAAATGAAGGAGGTAGGGGTCACCTATTTTCAGAGGTAAAATTAGTGAGAAAATGGCCACCAAAGATTAATTATAATTTCTTAGCTTAAGAGTCCGTGGCAACTGAAAATTTACATTTATTGTATCTTTAATCAACGTTTTTGAGAAAAATCCGCACAGAAATGAGTCCTTTAATGGGCATGAAAGGTGTTGAACCAAAAAACAAAAATTTGATAAAAATTCAAGTTTCTTCACTTTGATTATTTTGAGGAGAGCCTGATTCCACCACGCTGCCTCACATATAGGCCAGGAGTATAGCGGCTTTTCTTTCAAAGGGGACAGTGACAGTGGGTGGTTGGAGGATGCTCTTGTGTGGTTTGCTCCTTCTTTTTCCTATCAAACGTCTATCGTCCTTATCTCGCTTCCTTTTTTGTGTTTGTTACTCGCATGTAACACCTCTAATCTTCGGTACTTTTATGACATTATTGTGTTGCATGTGGTTTATAATTCTTACAAAAACTCAAGAACAGTGACAACTGTTCGTGTCTTTCCAAACAACGATATTGATGTCATCGGTCGGAATATTAATTATACGTATATCTGACGATTTATTTATTCTGGAACGGGCTTATTTTGAAAAGATTTTTTGTTTTGGCAATAGGGAGAGAGAGAGAGAGAG